CACATCTCAAGAATGTTGTTTAAAGACAAATTCCGATCTCAAATCACTTTATGTTGTTTTATATTTTATAAGTTTACAAGTCAATCATATACCTACTAAGGAAACTTATATTTTACAATACTCATATTATATTATTTATTATATTAAGTATTGTCATATACTTTTACAAATAGCTCAGGCATGTGTCAATCCATCACAAGTTGTTCAACCTGTCGACTGGCCTATGAAGTTAGCCATATATTAAACATATGTAACAGAAAACCACAATCGATAACAAAATGACTTTTGTGGCTGTTATTAGAGTATCGTTCTACTGTTGTAAAGACATCAAACAAAGATGATTCGACACCTTTTCTCATGCTATCCTCAACGAATAGGTATTGCCAATGGAAAGATGCACATTCGTATGCCAAATATTCTTTGATATCACTGACTGTTTCTCTCGAAATTATATAAAGGGTGTTTTTTTAGAGGTATAGAACTTTTAAATGGAATAAAACAAAGATGATTTTTATCAATTGACATTTTCATTTCATATCGAATTTATTCGATAGATAATTTTTTGCTGTGCCTGACGTAGTCTAATCTGGAGGTCACATTTTTAATCACTTTTTCCAATATTTGTCGCCATATATCGGCAATAACGCGGCGAATGTTGTCCTTTAAGTGATCAATCGATTCATGCTTATCAGCGTAGATTAGCACCTTCACATATCCCCACATAAAATAGTCTGGCAGTGTTAAATCGCACAATCTTAGAGGCCAATTCACGGTCCGAAACGTGAAACTATGCGGTTACCAAACGTTTCCTCCAATAAATCAATTGTGGCACGAGCTGTGTGACATGTTCAATTGGAGAATGAAAAAGGTAGTAATCATGGCTCTATAGCGGTCACCATTGACTGGAACGTTCTGGTCAGCATAGTTTTTGAAGAAGTACGGTCCAATGATTCCACCAGACTATAAAGCATACCAAAGAGTCAGTTTTTCTGAATGTAATGGTTTCTCAACATACATTTAAGGATTACCTTAACTCCAAATAGGGCAGTTTTGTTTGTTGTCGTAACCATTCAAGCAAAAGTGGGCTTCATCGCTAAACAAAATTCGTTGATGTAAATCGGAATCAACGGCAATCTCGTTTTGGAACCACTCATCGAATCTACGAATCTACGTCTTGCTAGGTAATGATGTACCTTCAATTCTTGCATAAGTTGGTTTTTGTAAGCATACAAAGCAAAATCTTTCCACAAAATCTTCCATAAAGTCAATGACCACGCATCCAAACGCTGTACACGATGGCAGATAGACTGATTCGAGTCTTCCTGTATGCTACGCTCTACAGAAGTAACAACTTCTTTTTTACGCACTGTGAGATGTGTTTGTGGATGTATATTATCATTTAGAGTAAATGTGGTGCAAAAACGTTCCATGGTTAATCGAATTATTTGCTCTGATGGACTATTATGTTGACCAAAAAATGGACGTAGTGCGCGATACATATTTCGAACGGAACCACAATTTTCAAATTAAATTTGTACAAATTGGAAGCCTTGTTCATGCATCAAGTCTCCTCCTCCTCAGTCCTAATTCCTTTTGGGATGTGGTGACACCATCAGGCCTGTACAGTTTTTTCAAGTTTTCCCTCCATCCTTCTCTGTCCTGGGCTAGTTGTTCGGCTTCATGTAACCCTTGGTTAATCAATATTTGTGTTTGATCTACCCAACGGCTTGGAGATCTTCCCCTAGGTCTCTTTCCTTCAACTCTACCCTCGACTATCAGTTTTCCATCGTACCTGTTCTTCTAGCAGTGTGTCCAAAATACTGCAATCTGCAAATACTGCATCTATGTTGCGTTTGTTTAAGCAACCTATTCTTTACTTTAAGTTGTTCTAATATCGATACGTTAGTGCGATGATCAATCCAGGATATTGTTACGATAAACAATGACTTATAATATCTAAACTATAAATATCCTTTTTCATTCAAGTCTGTTCTAGATCATACACCAGCCGGCGGAAAATTAGAATAAAGGAAATAAAGTAAATAAAATAGACTTATAAAAACTCAAGTCCAGTTTATTTTTATCCGCTTTCTTTAAGGTTCACGTTTCGAATGCATATGTGCTATGGGAAAAATGAGCGCCCTTACCAGCCTTAGTTTTGTGTGTATTGTTATGCTAGAATTTTTCCAAATTGCTACCAGTTTCATTATAGCTGTTCTAGCAATAGTCAACCTTCTACGTATCTCTGTCACACCCTCCGTCATTTGTTATCAGAGACACCAGGTATATGAAACTATTTACTACTTTAAAGCCCCCAATTTCTTTAATGTGTTGAAGATTATTCCGAGCTCTGTCTACTATCATGATCTTTGTCTTACTCCTATTTAGTTATAGCCTATATGATTTGCTTTGCTTTGCGTCAAGTCTATTGATGCTGAAATGCCAAACCAAACAACATAAATCACTTGCCAGCTGTCAAAATTTCCAACATTTAAAAAAGTGTTACCAATTTACATTTCTATACCTCTGAAAAAATACCCTCTATAAGTAAGAGACTGATGACGACAATACATTTTTAGACTTCCTTAGTGCTTGTCATATCAGTGAAGGAGAGAACCTTAAATTTGCGATGGAATGACAGTCGTTGAAAATCAGATCCTATTATGGTACTTATCAATCCTTTTCTTCATCTCCCCCACTCACTTCATATCCGAAGCAACTAATTCATTAGCAATGCAAATTAATTCGGGACAATCTACAGTAAAATCATGAAATGAGAATACACTCATATAATAATCATGAAATGCACTCTTCTCTCTCTCTCTCTCTCGCTCTCTTCAATCCTGACCTCTCGAGGTAGTGTAGTGTCATCGTCATGTCGTGTATTGTCCGTCTTCAAACATCTCGGTTTCTGGTCATTTCTTTTAACTCATGCATAGGTCTTTTGCATATTCCTGTAATTTGATCGATCCATCTTGTTGGATCTTCATCTTAATCTACGGCCTTCTACCTTTCCTTAAATAATAAGGCTTTCCATGTTTTCTGTGTCAGCTCTAATAACATGTTTAAAGTATTTTAATTATTGGAGATGGACTTTGCTCTCTGCTGGATATCCGTTTGCTAACTTTTAGCTCATTTAGAATTAAATTATTGTCCCGTGCTCATTTAGAATTCGTTACATTCTTCTACAACAGAGCACTTCAGTGGGGTCCATCTTTCTATTTTCCGCTTGTTGTAGAGTCCAAGAGTCACAGCCGTATGTCTGTATTGGGAATATTAAGCAGTTGGTCAAACTCATTTTTAGATTTCGTGAAATTTGAAATTTGAGAGTCCTTCGATATTTTGGCCATATTTACTACTGCGGCTTTTACTAGATCACATCTACGTTTTATTTCTTCCTGTAGAGACTCTATGTTTATAATCGATTATCCCAAATATAAATATAAGCTCACAACCTTAACCCGGTCAATCGTGGTAATGTGTGGATGTTTATTATGTTGTCTATCTGCTATCATGATCTTTGTCTTTGATATGTTTAACTGCAGACCAAATATTTGACTTTCGTTTTCAACCAGTTGTATGCGATTAACTAACTCTTCTTCATCATTTACAAAATGGGCTGTGCCGTCTGTAAAACTTAGGTCTGAAAATTGATCGCCAGTTTTATTTCATTCTCGAGTACGCTAGGTTCTTCTTTGGTTCTTCAGGAGTTTGGTGAACAAGTTCCCGGCATTTTATTATCCTGGCAATATAACCTCCAAGTCTCTGCTATATCTTCTTTGTTGGTTTTCATTTTATCTTTATATAGACCCTGGAAATATAATCTTGAAGTCTCTGCTATATCTTTTCTGTTGGTTCTCAGGCTTCATCTGTGGTCTTCAACTGTTCAAGTTCTGGATCTCTTGGCTGATTGTTTTGATAGTGGCTCTTAATTTCTTTGCGTATATTGTGATAGTATTCTTGTTTATCAGCCTTTGATCTTCGTTTTATTTTTAATCTGAAATCTGTTATCCATTTTTTTTGTTTTCCTGGATTATTAAAATTTGGGCGATTAATTGGTGTTGTTACAGAATGTATAATATTCTTCCATATTTCTTGTGATGTACCTTTACCAATAGAGTACTTTTTTGGACTTCTTGGTGAAGGTCGTCTTTCTTTCATAGTTCTATCTTCTCTGACTCCCTCCGTCTGTTGGGCGCTTTAAGTTTGAGCTGTACTTAAGCTATGAGGATAGTATGAACTGATCCACATATCGCCCTTGATATGATCTGACTGTTTTGATTGATTATCTTAAGTTTTAAGTCGGCGTACATTGTGTTTAAATCGAGTATTCATAATGGAATAGTTATTTGTATAGTGTTGCCGACTTTTGCGTTAAAGTCACCGCAGATTAAGGTTAGTTCTTTATTTGGAATGTTGCTAATTGTTGTTTCTAATTTTTCGAAGAATTCCTCGACTGTTATGTCGTTTGCTGTACCTACTGGTTGAAATGTAAACTGATTAGAAATTATTGTCCGATGCCATCCTAAACTGTTCATTTGTGTCACTAAAAGAGAATAAAAATGTTTTTGATTTATCTGGGATGAACTTTGAACTCTGTGGAATATTTTATTTGAAGTTTATACCAGTTTCTTGGAATATTTTTGCCTATATGCGCAATTAGATATATCCAACTGTTTTATCTTTTAAACTAACAAATTTTTAAACTCTCATGTTATCGCTTTTCTCGTCTACTATGTATTATTTTTCTAGGGACAACAACTATTTGCAAGTGCTTTAAGTAATACAATATCTAAAGAAACTTGATCCCGTCGTAATATAGATAAAAAAAGCTCATTAAAAAGTTAATATTAATTTTTTACACTACTTGTAAACTTGGCTAATTATTATGTAACATTCATAATTACAACTACGTCGCCTCATAACATGTTTTTTTCAATTTGCATAAGTGAGCGGTTAATATCATATAACGCGGTCTCTGCTACAGCTACTGTGGAAATAGAACGCTTCTAGTTGATAAGATAGTCACCTATCTTGGCAAAACGGTGTTTTGGTTCCGCGGTTCCTTTTTCAAAAAATATTTTCGTGCACGAAAATGTTCTAATCAGTTGTTGGCGAATTATAGCAAATAGTGAAAGGTAATCTGGCATATAAAAGTGAAGTGAACTACACAGGTGAGTCGATAAACGAGCTAGTTAAATTTAGAATATTTATTTTTATTTGATAGTATACAATAGTGTGCACATTTTATATTTATCTATTTTTATTTGGATTATGTATAACAAATTTAATCAACTTGTTTTTCTACTACCTACTTTTCTATCGTATTTATTTTCATCATTTTGAAAAGTGCTTTATCTTGTCTTTCCTCTCTACAAGCAATTGTGTTTGTTAATTGATGAATTGGTACCACTATGGAAGGTTTTTCCATCAACTTATGTGATTATTTCATTCTTTATTTCTGTTTAGTACCCACTCATTTATATCCTTTACAGTATATTTTTTTCTTATGTCTTTATTACTGTTGGCATCTCATCGTATTTCCTGTAATTTTTCTCGGTATTCTCACCAGTATAATTAACATTCTTCTTCTTCTTCAAGTGCCATCTTCGTTCCAAAGGTTGGCGATCATCAGGGCTATACATATTTTCGAAACTGCTGACCGAAACAATTCGTTGTTGCTACAGCTATACCATTCCCGTAGATTCTTTAGCCAGGAGTTTCGTCTTCTTCCTATGGACCTTTTTTCTGCTATTTTCCCTTGCATAATTATTCGAAGCAGTTCATATCTTTCGCCTCTTGTAATGTGTCCCAAGTATTGCAGTTTTCGTTTTTTGATCGTAAATATGACTTCCCTTTCTTTATTCATTCTTCTCAAGACCTCGACATTTGTGACTCTCTCGGTCCATGATATTCTCAGGATTCTGCGATACATCCACAGTTCAAATGCCTCTAATTTTTTGATATCAATCTTTTTCAATGTCCATGACTCCATTCCGTAGAACAACACAGAAAGTACGTAACATCTCATCAGGCGAAGTTTCATTTCAAGGCTCAAATCTCTTCCGCAGAACACTCTCTTCATTTTAGTGAATATGGATCTGGCTTTTTCTATTCTTATTTTGATTTCTGCTGAGCTATCGTTGTCTTCATTTATAAAAGTGCCTAAATATTTGTATTTGTCAACTCGATCGATAATTTCATTGTGTAAATATAAATTTTGGACATTTTGGACATAATTAATATTAGATGAATAAATTAAAGGGTGTTAATCATCCTCCTATCTTATTCTTTTATCTACATCTAAAGGTTCTGTAAGTTGTCCATCTATTCTGAGTTTAATCTTGTTTTTTAGTACATGTTTCTAAAACATCTTTTCTTCGATCTAAACAATTCTGTATCAATGTTTGCATGCTAAAGATTTTGATACTAAATTGACCCAACCAGTGACCTATTCACACTTCTTAAACAATCTTGTGTGTAGTATTCTCAAGAAATGTTTTAAAACGTGGCTCAATAGGCTTATTAGCAGGAGGTCTTTGCAGAATTTCTCACGTGGTGTTTTGGATAAAGCAATAAATTTACGAGTAGAACAAAGCCAATCTTTTGGAATCTGACCCGAATCGTAGATATCGATTAAGAACTTTACAATAATGTTTAGGTTTTCTTCATTAAGGTAACTTGATTGTTTCTGCATACATATCATCTGGTCCTGGTGCTTGTGTTAGTTTTAATAGGTTGATAGCGTGCACAATCTCAGCTCTCAAAATACTTGGGCCATTCAAATTGTCTCCTAATTTTGATGACTTTTGTATTCTGTGATTGTTGAACAAATCCTCCGTGTATAATTTTTAGATATTAAGTATATCGCGGGGGTCTGGGTTACCAGTGTTATTCTTGGTAATTGTTTTATTTTGGAGAAGAAAACTATTGTTCACATCATCAAATGATTATTTTATTATGGTCCATGGCTTTTTAACATCATCCACAGTTACCATATCAGAGTACCTAGTATTTATTTCTTCCGTATATGCTTCTCTTGAATCATTATTTTTAAGTTTCTTAATGTCTAGTCTAATAATGCTTTCTAATTTTGGCCGTAGTGATTCTCAGTTTATTACTTGCAATTAAGGGATTGTGGTCAGATCCTATGTCTGCTCTAGTTAATGCACAAATCTTAGTAACAGCATTAATGTACCTTCTATTAATTTTCATGTAATCTATTTGATTCCATATAACGCTCTGATGTCCGTCTAAAGGCGAACTCCATGTGTAGTGCCTCCTGAACGGTAACTTATACCTACCAAGTATTCGTTATAACTAGATCTTTGTCTTAGCAGTTCTGTATCAATCTATCCTCTTTGTAGTTTCTCTGTCCAATCCATATTTTCCAACTACGTAATTCCATATTCTACGGCTCCCTCTCCAAATTTCGCGTTAAAATATCCGAATATTATTGTTGCTTTCTGCACCTACGATAACCTCTATATAACAATTGAGTCCATCAGAAAGAGAGGAGAATGTCTATGTTCAATCTCAAACTCGCTGGTTTCTTCTTTTCGTTTTGGGAATGTATATTACTATAAACAAATAAAAGCAATAGAACTATAAACTATATTTAAAGCAAGTAAACAGAATACACAGAAAACATACATACCGAAGATTATATACCAATTAAATACGCGTGACAAATGCTTTACCAAACGGTGAATGAATTAGAGTAGTGTTGCCCAAAATCGGTCCTGGACTTGCAGTTTTGGTCTTGTTCTTGCGTTTTCGCAAGACCACTTCTAGCTATGATATCAACATCATCTGCAAATGCCAGTATTTGTACACTTTTTGTTATTATTGTTCCTCTGATGTTGACTTTTGACTCCCTAATTATTTTCTCTAATGTGATATTGAATAGAATACAGGATAGGGCATCTCCCTGTCGTAGGCTCGTTCTCACATGGATTGTATCTGTTAGTTCGTTTTGAATTCGAATTTTGCTTTGTACTTTAGGTGTTAAACTCTTTCAGTGCATGGATCAGAAACTCTCGATGTATGCTATCATAGGCACTCTCAAAGTCAATGAAAAGATGATGTGTGTCTATATTAAATTCTTTTCCAAGATTTGCCTCAAGACGAAGATCTGATCTATTGTGGACTTCTGCCTGCGGAAACCACATTGATATCCCCCAACTATTTGTTCCGCATATGGTCTCAATCGGTCATACACAATATTTGAGAATATTATATAGGCCACAGTCAGTAGCGTTATTGTCCGGTAGTTTTTGCATTGAAGCTGATCTCCCTTTTTATGCATTTGGATAATTACTCCGGTATTCCAGTCTTGTGACAGTTGTTTATTATTCTATATGTTCACTATTAATTCGTGTATCGCATTCAATAGGAAGTCTCCACCTTCCTTTATTAATTCTGCGCTAATGTTGTCTAATCCAGGTAACTTGTTGTTTTTCAGTCTGGTAACTGCTTCTTGCATTTCAGCTACTGAAGGGGGGTTGTTTATCTGGTATCCTTTTGATCCAGTATAATTCCATCATATAGTGGATCTTCGTTTTTTTTTTAAACTTTTCTTTGAAGAATTCTGTCCATCTTTGTAATATTTCACTCTGTTGAGTTACTATATCTCCTTCTCTGTCTCTACACATCATTGTTCTTGGTTTAAATGCTTTTCTACTTTTGTTAAGTTTTTGGTAGAATTTTCTGTTTTTTGATGCGATGTATTTTCTTCTCTTCCCTCCTTAGCATTCTATATTCCTTCTCTGCCTTTCATGTTCTATGTTGTAATTGTAGTCGTTGATATGCATTATTTTTCCTCTCTGTTATGTTACAATACTCTTCATCTAACCACTGTCCTTCAGTTGATTTGGGCTTTTTTTGTAGACACAGGATCTCTTTGGCCGCGTCTTGTATGATGTTTTTGTCTGCTAATTTTTTTATTTCATATTTTTCATTTTTGGATCCCTGTTTTTAATGTTTGAGATGATAATAACATGATAGATCATGTTTACTATAACCCCATCTGGAGATCTCCACGTTCTCTTATGAACATTTTTTCACTGGAAGCATGTGCTGGCAATGACCATGTTAAGGGAAGTTGCTAGATTTATTAGTCTAATGTCATTGTCATTGGATACCTCCTGAAGACTGTGCTTACCTATAGTTGGTAGGTATTGTTGCTCTTTTCCTATTTTTGCATTGAGATCACCATAAATAATTTTGATGTCATTCTTTGGGCATGAATGGTATGCAGCTTCTAGTTCTTCATAGAATTTTTCTTTGACATCGTCTTCCTTTTCCTCTGTAGGGGCATGCACATTTAAGATGCTATAATTAAAAAATGTTCCCCTTAGTCTCAGGATGCATATTCTAGAGTTCATAGCACGAAAGTCTCTTACGAGGTGTTTAACCTTTTTATTTACAATGAAGCCAGTACCTAGTGCGTGGTCTTTAGCATCCCAACTATAGAATATAATGTGGTTGCTTTTTTCAATGGTCCCGGTCCATCTCATTTTCTGCAGAGCTGCTATATCTATGTCATATCTATTCCGTTCACCGAGCAGATTTTGGAGGGCTCCCGATCTGTATAGCGATCGGATGTTCCATGTCGCGATTCTTAAATCATGTGCCTTTTTCATGTCGTTTGATCAGTCTGGTTTTCTTTCCTTGAACATTCGCAACATGTGTGTTTTCTAGGATAGGGTTGTTAGCCCTATGCCTAACCCCCTTCTCGGAGGATCATTTCTCCCTTCCTCGTCGGCAATGACCCTACTTTCCACTGGGTTGGTTACCCAATCTCCGGTAGGGTTGCTCAGGTTTTCCAGGGTCCACCCGTGTGATTAAGTCACACTTCTTGGAGGTGAGGATAGGAATTGAGTAGGAGTGGCTAGAGGTGTTATCAGGAAGCAACACCTTATATTGCGCATCACTACTTCCTTGAACCCCTCTAAGTGACTCTGTTGCTGCGTTAATTATGTTATTTTTTAGTTTTTCCCAGCTTTCTTCGATGTTATCGTTTTCTAACATTTCTATCTAATAATCTTTTCTGATTGATTGATTCATTTATTTCATTTACTTCTTCATTAATTCCCATTATGTCTATACCCATTCGTTCATTTCATTGATGGTTTTATATATTTTTTCGCTTAGTAAATACTTTTAACAATTC